TATATGAAACTGTATTGAACAAGATTTGAAATATTTAAAAATAACTGACGAATATATCTTGTAAACATATTATAATACCATCAATGATGGTCCATCATACATTTTAAAATTGTTTAATGCGGTGGCTCATTCAAAATGTTTTCGTTAATAAGCATACAAATGCTGAAAATAACAAATTCACTTTCATTATGATTAAAAAAATACTTTCTCATAAAAAAACACAAATTTGCTAGAATTTGTAAAAGTACATGAGATTTTTAAATAAAACATGATAACATGAGATTGATTGAAAAAACTTGAGATCTCATGCAAAATATTCGCGTCGCTGTTCGCGATTCCCAGTACCAACCACTCCCAACCAATACCAATAATGTACAGCAAAAATATCTATATGGTGCATAAGAATTATCTCATCCGAATACGACAGCCCCAATATTATAAAAAAGCAAATTTTGAAGGTAAAATTAAAAATTTGGTTCATTTCTGTTAAAAATAAGAATTTAGGTTAAACTACACAGCTTTAGGTAGTAAAATATAAAAATTAGGTCCATTTCTTTTGAAAATAAAAATTTAAGTAAAATAGGTAAAATAAAATTAGTCTCAAATGAAGTTATTTTCTTCAAAGCGGATTTTATTCCATTGCACCTAAAGTTATGATTAGCGTAGACAAATAGGTATACCTATTATAATAACACTAAAATCTCATCTCTAATAATTAGGGTTAATTGTCAGTCAGTATCAAGCTAATTTCGTCCTATTTTTAAAAAATAATGACTTTTGGGTGTGAACCATAGTACCTACCTATTATTATACTTATATATACATTGCGTGAACAGGCAAGTTTAATCAATAAACGATCTCAAAAATAACTGCATATATATCAAGGTCCATTTTTAAATGTTAAAAGTTATAGAAATAATAGGAAAAAAATTTAAAATAAATATATTAATTTTTTTAAACATAACAGAAAATACATCTGTGAACCTTAGTTTTCTTATTTGAATTGTTTTAATAACAATAATGTTTGGGTATTTAATATTTTGGTTTATTACCCACACAGTGTAGCCAAGTTTTTTAAACTTAAATGTTTCATAAATATAAATTTTTCTTAACCTATAGGTTATAAACGCTATACAGAACGATACGATAATGCGGTTATATAAATAATCATATCAATATTATTTTTACGGTCTTGTCAAAAATGATTTTAGCTCGCGAAATTGTGCTCAGGCCTTGGCATTGAATTTAACATTTTTATTTAACCTTTTGACTTAAAAATCGTTCAAACCATTTTCCAAAATACGAAATATTTAAACCCTGTAGATGCATACAAAATGATTTCCAATAAAACCTTTAACTATTATATGTTGTTGGACTTTATAAGGCTTTTTTACTGTTAAGGAATTCATTATAAGAATTGTGACTCAACAATTTCAGCAAATCGTTTTCCACATCGATGCTTAGATTACATTTATTAAATAAATTACCCCTTAAACGAATCACTTAAAGTGTTTTAATCATGCGACCTTAAATTTTCTATACAAACATCTTATACACTAAAAAAATAATATTATTTTAGCTAATAAATGTAAGATTAATCGGTTTTAGATTTTAGCTTTTTAACATTATTATTATATTATTTAATCGACCATTAACGTCAATTAGCAGCTGAGATAAACAAAGCATGGTATAGGTGATTTAAAATTTAATAATCGTAACAATAATGAAACAGTTTATTAAACATTGACAAAAACAAATTAATTTATCTGGTTAAGTCATGCAATACAAATCTGTTAAGTTATTAAACTCTATATTACAGTGGTAATTGTTTTAATCTACTCAAAATCAATACGTTTAATTAAAAATTTATTGTAGTTAATACCAGGAATATGTTGGAAATTATCTGTATGTTACATTACACCATATTATTTTTTTAAGTATAAATTTTTTTTATATTTGGGAAAAATAAATTAAAGTTTATTTATGTATTAATCAGAGCTGGGCACGAGTACTAAAAAAGTATTCGTAAAATTTTAAGTACGAGTACCTACTTAAAATATGTATGTACTTTAGTCGTAAGTACATTTGTAAAGAGAGGTTACGGTTACTAGTAGTAATCGTGAAAACACGAGTAAAGAGTAGGAGTACTTTTGAAAAAAAAATGTTAGTTAATATAATTGATTATTCTTTATACATTATACAATGTATACATGGGCGCCGCTACATAGGGGCAGGGGGGGGCCCGGGCCCCCCCCTGAAAATTCATACCCAGAAATTCCGGTACTCCATAATTTGTATAATATTATAAATAACCATAATACCTAATAGGCGTATTGCAAAACGAAAAATAAGACGTGTTACACACAAAAATTGCTTATAATTATCCTGTTATTACTACTCTATGCAGTAGCGTAACTAGGGGGGGGCGGGGGGGCGGTCCGCCCCGGGCGGCACTTCTTGGGGCGGCAAAAATCGTGAGAGAGAATGCGAAAAAAACTGGAAGACAGAATATAAAAATAAAAAAAATATTTGATAATTAAGTATTCTCTTTCGAAATAATATAATTCAAATTCCAATACATTTGAGATTTATACAATTACTCCCAAAATATTCCAAATCAAATAAAGCTAGCAAAAAATAGAAACAAGACCGGTATTGTACCTTTGATGAGTAATCAGTCTACCGCCGACATAAGTTACCAATAATTTTGCGTACGGTCCTCAAAACTGACTCCTAACCTAACCTCTCTTCCCCCCCCCAAAAAAAACATGAGGGCGACAGCCACTGCTGCCCCGGGCGGCACTTTTTCTAGTTACGCCGCTGACTCTATGTCATGCTATAGCATAACATCGATATGTATTACCTAAAAAAAGTCGCTACAGTGCAACCACATTTTTTTATGTTTAAGTTTTTGTTATTGGTATAACTTATTTTTAAAATATTACTCATGTTTGTATTTAATTTTTTTGTTATATTTTAATTTATCATAATTTGTATAGCGTATACATAAGACGGCTGTACTACTAGAGGAGATTCCTCGGCGATACAATTTTTTTATATTTATATATTTACCAAAAAACTGTGATGTATTTTTTGCAATATGTACCAATATAAATAAATAGGTAAATATACATATAAAGATGATATTTTATTTGACTTAAGTTTAATGTGAACTTCTACAGTACAACTTGATTATAAATAACATCCATCAAAATTGTAAAAAACTTTAAGCCCCCCCCCCTAGACGAATTCCTTCCGGCGCCCATGAATGTATAATATACATACTTTGGTCCTGAGATATAAAAATACAAAATTATAATAGTATATTGTGTATCAAGTTTAATAACGTCCATTTTAGACACGAATTTAATTTAATGAGTGCCTAGAAAAGTTTATAAACGAGTTGCATACTATACTTTTTCTATGACAAATACTTATTATTATCTAAAAATTATTTAAATTAAGTATTTGTATAGAGCGCCATCTATAAAACAATAGGAGAATCTGTATTAATGTCAAATGTCAAATTTGTATGTTTTATAAAAATAGATAATAATAAATGTATTCCTTGAAAATGGATTAAACAACAGTTTTTCACAGTGAAAGTAAAGAAAATGTTTTATTACCACTTCACGGTGAATTAAAAGGTCAGTACAATGTTCATATAAACTCTTCAAATATTGTCGTTGAGAAACTATTTAATGCTTTTGTATTTTTGTATTGAGATAATAAAATAATTTTTACATTTAGTATTATTTTAGAAGAAGGGCACTTTATTTTAACGATTGTATGCCATTTGACAACTGTCAAATAACTTCAGCCCGTGACTAAAGACCTGTTGATAACTTCAGCCCGTGACTAAAACCTTTTAAAGCCATAGCTTGTTAATGTGTATTTAAAAGGTCACTTAGTGTCGTGGGATAATGGGCGATTTAAAGGTGGGAGTGGAAAAAGTTATTTATTTTAAATATTAGGTACATAAAATAATAAATAAAAATAACAATTCTTAAATAGTTTATAATTTTACCTATAACCTATATACTTATTATAAAACCCTTAGAAGAAAAAACAACAGGAAGGAGCATTTAATAAATGACCTTGGGTCCAAAGTGGTGCTTCAATATGGCGGATAGTTGTTTCCGTTTGACAGTGGCGTAGTAAATACAATTGAAGTTTAATTTTTATAATTATTAGGTTAGTATCAGAAAATATGATACGCCTATGGTTTTTTCTATGATGGTGACGTTCTTAGGTTATGGTTATGTTCTAAGGTTACGTTATTTGACATTGATTTATGTTTAATATTTACAATTAATTATTTTAAAATATACAATAAGTAAATAAATTAAACGTTAACCAAAATACTCACCTATGAAATGTAATTGAATATTTTTTATTTTTTGTGCTCAAGGAGCAACCACAAGCTGCACAACTAACCATAATTTGTCTTTACACCTTAAACACTAATATTTATATCTTAAACTTTAAATATTTACACTTAAACGAGAATATATCAAATAAAATACTGTCTAGAAACAATGAAACGCTTATTAAAAGTTAATTTAAGCAGAAAAACAACATAAAACACCGACAAACACATAAAACATTCAACTTTGACAAATATAGCATCACAAATTTTGACACATATGTGTCAAAATTTGGTGCTTGCAAATGGCCGACTTCCGACGCAATTTTAGTACGGCTAAAGAATGACAAGACTCCTTCCTGTTGTTTTTTCTTCTAAGATAAAACCTATAGGCTATAATATATTATATTATATAATTTAAAACAGACAAACAAAATGTTGTTGATGCTTACGATATTTTGGCAAAAATTCATCGATATAATAAACGGAAATACTCGTATATATTACTCGTGAATTCCACGAGTATATTTTACGAGTAGGTACATTGAATTTTGTTTGTAAGTACGAGTACTCGTACTTTTTTACTCGTAATTGATAAGTACCCTTCCACTTAAGATTTTTTTCTTTATTCTAGGTACAGTTAGTGCAATCTCCGATGGTATGCAATACGGATGGTCCGCCCCTGTAATTCCAGTACTAAAACACCCAGACAGCCCTGTAAAAATCTCCGAAAGTGATGAAGAATGGCTGGAATCCGTTTACATGCTAGGCGGAATAGCCGGTTTACCCGTCACCATAGTGCTAGTAGACAGAATAGGACGAAAAAACTCGATGATATGCTCTGCGATGGCGAGCTTGATTGGTTGGATTCTTATTGGTGTGGGTAACACGGTGGAGTACCTCTTTGTAGCGAGGTTTTTGACTGGATTAGCTGGGGATGTGGCTTTTGTGGCTGCCCCGATGTATATTGCTGAAATTGCTGATAAAAAAATTAGGGGTTTTTTGGCTGGCGTTATTTACCTTATGATGCTTGTGGGCATTTTAGTTATATATTCTGTTGCACCATTTGTACCTATATACGTCTCCTCCATAGTTGGGGGTATCATACTCTGTCTACAACTTTGTGCATTTCCATACATCCCTAAATCACCCTATTATCTTCTCTCGAAAGGAAAATACGATAAAGCGAAAGAATCACTACGTAAACTACGTACGAACAAAGACATTGATAAGGAGTTTGAAGAGATATATTCTGCAGTAAACCGACAAAAAACCGAAAAAGGACGCCCACAAGACTTAATCCTTATCAAAAGCAATCGCAAAGCCTTAATAATAATGACCGTTCTAAACGCAGCCCAACATTTTAGCAGCATCAGCGTAATTCTAATGAATCTCCACGACATCTTAGAACGAGCTGGCTCCGCGTTTATGTCACCCACTACAAGTGGTATAGTATTCGCAGCTGTGATGCTGATAGCTGCGACTGCAGCTGACTTTTTCGTTGACAAGTTTGGAAGAAAAATACTGCTCACCACCTCAAGTTTATTCACAGGTTTATGTTTACTAGTCATAGCGATATATTTCACTTTACAAAAGATGGAGTACGATGTCTCAAATGTCTCCTGGATACCCATAGCTGCGGTTATGGTATACGCAGCTGTTTTTAAGTATGGTTTAGGAATGGTTCCGATTGTTATGACAGCTGAATTATTCCCAACAAAAGTGAAAGCTATGGGGATGACAATCTCAGATGCAATGTACCTTTTATTTGCTCTTATTTCCATAGAACTTTATCAGAGTTTAAGCTCCCGGTTTGGTATTGATGTACCTTTTTATATATTCGCAGCTTCATGCTTATTTACAGCTGCGTTCAGCATGTTATATATACCAGAAACTAAAGGTAAAACATTAGAGGAAATACAGTTTATTCTAAAAGGAGAGCCTTTTCCACAGGGAGAGGTTCCTGTAAACACAGAGCAAAATAGAAATAAGTTAAGCAGTCCTTTGGAAGCTGAATTCACGTCAACGCACCTTTAGTATATTATTAATTTTAGTAAACTCGAATCAAACTGCCTTTATTATAAAAGACACTTTTTGAGCATTTCATAGTTTTCTACTTATTGTTTTATCCAGTACCACCTGATTTTGTATTTATTTAGTTTATTTCATCAAATTGTTATAGTATTACACTGGAGGTATTGGATAAACACTTTTTAAAGAAACTTCCTGTACTTACGTGATATAAACTTTTTATCAAATAGAGAATGAAAGAAGGAACGTTGAAAGAATAGGGTTGATGTAATGTTAACGACAGTGATATTTGCCTTTGCGGTTGAGTAAAGCTAAGCTTTATTCAACACATAAACCTAATCAAAACGACTGTGACCTGAAGTGATCTTTTAAAGCAATTTTTAGTATAATATTGCATTTTCATAGTATTTTTAAAATAGGTAGTTAATACGCTAACTTTTGTTTATTATATAAAATATATGAATTGTTACGAATTTTTTGTTTCACTTATTACTAAAGCTAATTAATTTTAACCTCATCAAAATAACTGATCTAAAGATCTTCTAAAGCACTTTTTCACAGATTTATGTCTGCTAGAGATAGCCATATATTTCACTCTACAAAAGATATAGTACAATGACTCCTGGTTGCCAATAGCTGCTGTTGTGGTATACGCAGCTGGATACGCAGTGGAATTTCAAAAGGAAACAATCAAAATTCAGGTGGCGCCATTATCTAGGGATTTTCTGAAAAAATACTTAAACCAATTACTCTTGTAGTTTTAAACGAGCCTTTCTTGGGTAGCCTCGTTTGTTCTTCACATAAAATGCTTCCTATTGTCAGGTGATTCGTCTGCCAGGTATGCTGTCACTTCACACTCTATTACTTCCGTGACCGTAAGGTAGCCTTTAATTCACTGTAGATACAATGCATTATAGTTTATTTGCACTGTATGAGTAGTTTATTGTGGAATGTAAAATTTTGGTTTCAAGCAAGGTCTCGGTTACTATGTCTCACCTCGCACTGAAAAAATAAGCTGTTGAAACAACAAAAAAAAATATTAATTCAACTCTTTATGCACTTTAAATACAAGCAATGGTTTTTGCACGTTTACTTAACCATCTAAAAATGTCAAATTGTATTGTTTAATTGAACAACAAATAACAGTCAAATGAACAAAATAAGAATATTTGTTCTAATCTGCTAATTTGGTTAATTTAACATTCTTAGGGTGTTAAGGTAAATTTCTTGAAATGTCCAGGTAACCTTTTTAGCATATTCACTTAACACCAATAAAATGTTAAATTAACATTCTGAAAATGTAAAATTCTTTAAAGGTTGGTATCCAAAACAAAATTATGGAAATAATATATTATTATATATAAATAGAAAGAATTGAACCTTCACCTCGCCCAGAGTTTTTGTTTTGAGCGTGTTCCACCCATGATACATCTTTGTATCATGTGTTCCACCTACTTCAAATACCGACAGACTGTTTCGCTCTGTATTGAGGGTCTTAACAGTGTCGGGCAATATGGTGTAGTGAAAGTTCTACTGTGGAACACACCTTAAACAAACAGATATCTCATCTTATATACACCTAATCGTAAGCTAACTAAGGCGAGATGTAAGAAAACGTCATTGTCTAATGACGTAGCGTGAGTGTTCGAAGCGCCATTCTCGGCAATTTTATGAATGCAAATTTTACATTTTAAATTTTAAAGTAACATTTTAAATTTGTTAAATGAACAAATTTAAAGTTTCGGATTAAAGAGCAACTAAACGTTAATTTAATAGTTTTTTTAGGTAATACTAAAAATTTCAGTAGTTGATTCAACAAATTCCAGCTATTAAATCAAAGTACGATAAACATTTTAATTCAAAATATTAGTTTATGTTAAATTAATATTTAAACTGTCAATTGAACAAATAAACTTTGACAAACTCTGACTTTTGCTTTAACACCAAAATATAGATTAATCCAATAGGTTTTTTGTTGAAACAACATTTTTAAAAATGACATTTAGGCAAATGTTAACTCAACTACATTATTTTTTTCGGTGCGTTAAAAGTTCGAACGTGACTGCAAATATTAAAATTATAAATTTTACTTTAAAACCTCCCAAACAGCAAGGAAGGGTTATACCTTTTTTTTAAGAAGTTGTTAATTTTATGAAACCAAAACAGATATTTTATTTCAGTTTCTTATAAACGTTTATTTTTTTTGAAACAAGGATATTTTTAGTATTTTTTAATACAGTCACTGCATTACAGTGATTCTTAAAAAAACACTCAGAAACAAGTTAATTATTAGTAATTAATTTTATATTGTGGCATGAAGCTAAATTACAAAAAGGTAAAAAAGACATAAAGCCTGAATGAATAGCCGGCTACTAAACTTGTAGTATTGTATACCACCTATTTATTAGTATATTGTAAACAGTTTTATATTAATTACACTATAGTGTACTAGTTTACAAAATCAAAAAAAATTCTGCGTGGAAGCCTTTTTAGATATGAATTTACAATTGTCCATGAAAAAAAAATTAAGTGTGATTTTCGCATTTAGTGAGCCAAACTACACAAGAAAATCATAGTGAGACATGGTGGGCAAAATGGCTGTAAACTAGTATTATTAACTTAACATTAATATTGTGCTGTCGTTATTTTGACGTCTATTTTTCGTGACTATTCGTCAGTGACGTCACTTGACCTATCATCGACGTATTATTCACGTCACATTTGAAACTTATAAACGACGCCATGTAATGTACCTATTATAAACGTATTATTGACGTCATATTTAAAACTTATTAACGACGTCATGTAACCTACCCATTATTATCCTATTATTGACGTCACATTAGAAACATAAACACGACAGCATGTATAAAATTTTTTCGCATTTTTGACATGGTTGTAATTATTATATATATATATATTAGGTATATATATATATTAGGTATTATAAATTACATTATTATAATTTAAAATTGATTCGGCCCCGCAATGGCGCCGAATTTTAAAACAATCGGATTTGTACACCTTTGTATCTTTGGCGAGCGGTTTTAGTATAGAGATAGGCTGTTCGATACAGAAAAATTATGTATTTTTTAAATAAAACACCCCAATTTAAAAGCAAAAGAAAGTTTTCAAAATTAGATAAATAATTATTTATAATTATAATCGATACAGTGAATTCGGCACACAAATTTATATCCATTGTAACGACATCTTGTTTGTATCGTTTATACATTTTTCGTATAAAAACAGCCCACCTCCATTATAGTGTAATTGGTGGCGTACGCCAAAGCTTTGACGTACGCCACCTAGGTGGCGTATGCGTACCGTGCGTGCCAAAAGCTTTCCTAGGATCTTTGGAAATCTTCCAACACCAGGTTCAAAGTTTGTTAAAAAAAACAGCTTATTTATCTGTCTGTAAATTCACACGGTATATAGAACATTGTGTTGTGAGGCATCTGTTCTGTGAGGTATATAAAAATAGATAACCAAGAAGAGCACGTGCAGGCTGCACCGTACAGCATACTTGTAACGGCAATTTTTATAGGTTAATTTTGCAATGCACGTGGAAAACTGAAAAACGATTTTTACAGTTATATTATCTAGTTGTAGGGATATACTAATGGGGATATTTATAGGAATAGAGTTCAATGACCACAGCATGGCCATTGTTCATGAGTTCTGGCTAACGCCTCGAAAGAAACACACCTGAGAATATTTTAGTTAAGTAACGTTTTTTTCTATATCTGTACCCCAGAGCCAGACCATATTAAGTCCAAAATTTAAATTACAACATGAAGAATTTAAAAGTCATGTTTTAAATATTAATATATTTTATTTTAAAAATATTTCATATTATTCTTAAAGTATAATTATTATACTTTAAAAGTAATATAAAATAGTTGAATAATTTTATGTTTATAAAAACCATGTGATACGCTTCTTTGTTATTTGTAATGTGAGTTGCCTATTATCCGTCTGATTCGGCATTCTTTGGCGCTAATTGTACCTTAGCAACATACACCGAAAAAAATAATGTAGTTAAGTTAACATTTGCCTAAATGTCATTTTTAAAAATGTTGTTTCAACAAAAAACCTATTGGATTAATCTATATTTTGGTGTTAAAGCAAAAGTCAGAGTTTGTCAAAGTTTATTTGTTCATTTGACAGTTTAAATATTAATTTAACATAAACTAATATTTTGAATTAAAATGTTTATCGTACTTTGATTTAATAGCTGGAATTTGTTGAATCAACTACTGAAATTTTTAGGATTACCTAAAAAAACTATTAAATTAACGTTTAGTTGCTCTTTAATCCAAAACTTTAAATTTGTTCATTTAACAAATTTAAAATGTTACTTTAAAATTTAAGATGTAAAATTTGCATTCATAAAATTGCCGAGAATGGCGCTTCGAACACTCACGCCACGTCATTAGACAATGACGTTTTCTTACATCTCGCCTTAGTTAGCTTACGATTAGGTGTATATAAGATGAGATATCTGTTTGTTTAAGGTGTGTTCCACAGTAGAACTTTCACTACACCATATTGCCAGACACTGTTAAGACCCTCAATACAGGGCGAAACAGTCTGTCGGTATTTGAAGTAGGTGGAACACATGATACAAAGATGGATCATGGGTGGAACACGCTCAAAACAAAAACTCTGGGCGAGGTGAAGGTTCAATTCTTTCTATTTATATATAATAATATATTATTTCCATAATTTTGTTTTGGATACCAACCTTTAAAGAATTTTACATTTTCAGAATGTTAATTTAACATTTTATTGGTGTTAAGTGAATATGCTAAAAAGGTTACCTGGACATTTCAAGAAATTTACCTTAACACCCTAAGAATGTTAAATTAACCAAATTAGCAGATTAGAACAAATATTCTTATTTTGTTCATTTGACTGTTATTTGTTGTTCAATTAAACAATACAATTTGACATTTTTAGATGGTTAAGTAAACGTGCAAAAACCATTGCTTGTATTTAAAGTGCATAAAGAGTTGAATTAATATTTTTTTTGTTGTTTCAACAGCTTATTTTTTTCAGTGTATAATAAACAGTTCACTGACAATCAAAGCATTACAATAAAAGTTATTAAAATAAACGAGTAGTGCCTTCTTCAACCAAACAAGTAGAAATATCTTATCCATGTTAATTTGGAATCTACAAGAAGTCTACAAATTCATGCTGGTCCTTCGAGCCCGATTGAAACTTTAATTTTGAAACCGCCAAGAAGCAAGTACCCAACGTCAAAGATGGCAGACGCCGATGTACATCCTTAAAAACATGAAGAAAGTGTGATGGAACATTATTTTGTTGGAATTTGAAGAAATATCGACAAAATATAGGCCAGTACTTTCCAAACCTAAATTCTAATAATCCTTTAACCAATATTACAGCC